TTAGAGTAAAGAATGTCACATTCTCAATTTTCTATGTGTAATTGTTCTTTCAATTGAGTAAATATTAATTAATAGTTAAACAATAAAAATGTCATAATAGAACAAGTAATTCAATATTTTACAACTTTTTTAAATCTAAAATAATTTTAGTTAAAAATTATTTGAGACTCTTGCTAAACATGTGTTAATAGAAGAGTGTCAACTTTGTAAAAAAAAATTATTAGTCCTCTTTCTCCAATTAACAGGTATTTTTTTGCAAGTTTAGTCTAACTTAAGGTTGTTAAATTTGGGAGCTTAGTGGAAGGGAGGTATTGGGTGTGGAAAGTGGAGATTAGGAGACGCTTGATTGGGAGGTTAAACATGGGAGCATCTTCAAGTGTCGCCTCATCTCCTGGAATAGTAGCTAAGCGAGGATTTCAGAGATGAGGCTATTTGAAAAAGGACGCCTAGTGGAAACACTCTGTCAATATCCTTTTGTAAGTATGCCCTGTCCTTCTTTGACAATGCTGATGGGACTCGGAAACTTGTGTGGGCAAAACTAGCTCTATTGAGAGTGGAGGTATTTGTACGGCAAATGTTTCTGGGTAAGATAAGGGTGAAAGAAGAGTTAGTTGAGAAGAGAGGTTCAACTTAACACCTCGTTGCTATGTGTTTTGTGCAATTTGGGTTGGGAAACTTGTGATCACCTTTTTGCTGAATGTTTGGAGATTTGGAAAATATGGTCAAGTTGGTATAAGAGTTGGGGTGTTATACTTGGACTTCTCTAGAAACTGTTAGAGGTTTTTTCAAAGCATGAAGTGGGTACCAAACGGGGGCTTTTGATTAAAAGGGTGTGGAAGGTGACCTACTTTTCTACAGTGTGGTCTATTTAAAAATCTAGGAATGGTTGCATCGCTAGTGGAAAAGAACGGGATGCTGGACAATGTTTGGAATTGGCTATGGTTAGGGTGGTAGCTTGGATCAATGTCAAATGGCCAAGGGATTATTTGTCAATGTTAGATATTTACAAACAACCTCCGATCCAAAGTCTGCAAGGAAAATCAACACAAGGGAAGAAAGGAATTGAGTGGGAGAAACTGAAGCTTGGCCAAATGAAATTCAACATGGATGGAGCAACAAGAAATCTGGGACCAATCGGAATTTGGGGCATTCCCAGAGATTCTAATGATGAGGTCCCTAAGTCAATAAAAACGGCAAGACTCTGACCTTACGAAGATCTTAGCTGCGAGGGAAGCGTTTTTGATCTTTTCTGCTTCTAGGTGGAAGAATGATAGTTCACTTGGCATGGGAAGCAACTCTAAGATTGCACATTGAACCTTAGGATTGCGCATTTGAGTAAATAACAGTTTTTTTCCAAACATCTTGTACATTTGATCACAAGATTGCAAAGAACAAGCAGTGAGATTGACATACCAAGTATACCTTTTCGATAAAAGATTTAAAAAATTCTTTTAATTTCAAATTATTTTTAATTTCACTACTCTAAAGATCTTTAGAAACTTCATGACATATTTTCAAGTAACATCCATTTTACCATTAATTGTTTTGTATTATATTAAAAGTTGTAGTTTCTTAGTAAAAATAATTATAGTGATATGATCCTCATGAAATAATTGAATAAAAATAGTTAACAATACTTTGTTCAAAAATAAAATAGTAGATAAAGGGTGAAATACCGCTAGCTCTTTAAAGGTTTACTCTAATTCATTTCAAATCTATTAGCATTTAAAATAGATACTCCACTTCAAAATAATGTGTTTTGTTAGACACATAAATCTTGTCATTACTTTACTATTTGAATTTTCATTAACTTAATGACATGGTATGAATTTTATACTTATTTTATTTATTTATCTTGAAAAGAGAAAAAAAAACAAAATTTGTTTTAAGTGATGTCCATCTAGAAAATATCGAATCTTTTCTTGTGATTTGAAAAAAGATAATTGAGTATTATTTATTTACCTAATAATACTTGTGCTTGAATTATCGTCCCTTGCTCGTGGGGAGTGAAATTCCTTGATTCTTGATCTTATTAAGATAATTTGTCAATCTAAGCTTGCAACTTTTCTGTATTTCAGCAACTAAGTGGACATGAGAGGAGGAATGGACTGATAGAAATTCACTACCAAAAAACAAGTTTTTTCCGACCGAATTTTTCGTCGGAAAAAATTAAAATTTCGTTAGAAATGTCTTTTTCTGATAAATTTCTAACAAAAAAATCTATTAAAACTTTCGTCAGTAAAATCATCGTCGAAAATACTTTTCATTAAAAAATTTTGTCAAAAAAAATGCATAATTTGTTAACTGCAATTTATCAATTCCACTAAAAATTTTCGACGAAATTTCCGTTGAAAATATTTTTTCAACAAAATTCTATCAAAAATTTTCAATAGAATTTTTCGTTGGAGAAGCATTTTTAACGAAATTCCGTTGAAAATGTTTTTCCAATAGAATTTCTTCAAAAATTTTTAATGAAATTTTTGATTAAAAAAGCATTCTAATGAAATTTCTAACGCAATTTTTATAAAAAAAAAATTTCTCACAAAATTTTCATCAAAAATAAATATTCAACAATAAATTTTGTAAAAAGTTTTAAACAGAATTTTCCATTAATGATGTATTTCTAACAAAAATTTAATTGTTTAATCAGTAATACCTTTTCAACAAAAATTACAAATTAAAATTTTGATAATAAATTATCAATTGGCATTTAGAATTCACATTCAAATTTTATAAAAGACACATTAAAAACTAAAATTCAAAATTAAATTTATACAATTAAAAATTATCATAAACACACAATATTTAAAAATATCTAACAAATATAAATATAGAACTAAATATGCTATCAAATTCGTACCCGGCATGCCTCAATGACTTGAAGGATCAGGTTTTGCCGCGTATAGCAAAATAATTCATCACTTACAATACCACCACAAAAAACAAAATCTCTAACCAAACTATGCCAAAAACACATTTCCATCATAATGATAGATGTTCAAAATTACTCGTTTTAAAAGCAAAACATTGGTCAATAAATGAAAATCTCAATCCCAACCAGTGGGAGCAGGAGCAGTTACGTCGATGTCAGATGCTGGGATTTGTGGTGGAGGAATTGCAGCATCCCAACCATCCGTGGGAGGAACTGCATTTGAAATTTTAAAGTAGATTAGGCAAAAAAAAAAAAAAAACAGTCAGCAACATTTAAACTAAGGCACCATAATATAACAGTCAAGCAAATTCAGGCATGCAGACTGAGATGCAAGTTGAGTTCCACCCCCAACTGTGCCCACCTGATGAGAACCAAAATCATATTAGTTATGTGGTGGTGAAAAAGAAGTAAAAAAAATACACTTTGCCTGAATGGAAAGTTAAGTCACCTCACTGGAAGGCATAGTCACAGAGACATGAAGATCCTTCCCATCATTGACAGCTTCCATCATGGTAATGCAGTGGGAACTCTCAACATTTTGTGCTGGATCTTGGCCAGTTGCTATGAAGATAGCAGAGACAATATTGCTTGCATGGGCATTAAATCCACCAAGAGCACCAGCAACAGCAGAACCAGCAAGGTTCTTGAGCATGTTGAGCTCGACTAAAGTAGCAGCATTGGTTTTCAATACCTTCTTCACTATTTCTTCTTTAATAATTGCTTCACAAACTACTGATTTGCCTCACCCTTCAATCCAGTTAATAGCAGCAGGTTTCTTGTCCGAACAAAAGTTTCCTAGCAAATAAAATAGCATAAAAGCACAACCAATAAAAAAAAAAAGCTGTAATTGCCATTTAAGGTGAAGATAATACTCTATATAGTTAATCTAAAAATCCAGGTCAACTAGACCCATGAGAAATTTGAATTACCATTAGAAAATGGTTACAATTTTGAAAAAAAGAAAGAAAGAAGAGAGAGAGAGAGAGAAAGAGAACCAAAAATGTCAGAATCGTAATGTAACTAATGGCAGTCACTAGTACATAAAAAGATACTATATAAAAATGAAATTTAACTCCATTAATTGAAATAGTATTAAAATGAACATGATCTTGATACTGATGCTGAAATATCCAGCCAATTAAACAGCATTATTAAGGCATAAAAAGTTTGGCACCATGATAATTGCTAAACCATTTTTTCCAAGAAATATGAATATAATATTGTTTGCTGAACAAAAACTACAAAGACTAGTATAAACAAGTTTACATTTGCAATGAAACAAAACTAGTATACATTCATGTCAAGATAAAGTACAAAAAGCTATATTAAGAATGACAATTTTTTAAGGAAAATACTAATTACAAAGATGCCC